GTCATGCATCTGTTGATGCACGATAAAGTGTCATTGGCTTTTCTGATGGCTTCGTCACACTGCTGACTCATGTTCATCTTGGAGTCCACTAGGACTCCAAGATCCCTTTCCACTTCCTTGCCACCCAGCAGGTCATTCCCTAGGCTGTAGGTGTGCTGGACATTTTTCCTCCCTAGGTGCAGCACTTTGCATTTCTCCTTGTTGAACTGCATTCTGTTGTTTTCTGCCCACTTGTCCAACCTGGAACAGCTGCAAGCAGACCTGTACCTGCCCTCCGGCGTGTCCACATCTCCCCACATTTTTGTGTCATCTGCAAACTTGGACAGAGTACACTTCACTCCCTCGTCCAAGTCACTGATGAAGACATTAAAGAGTATCGGTCCAAGGACCGAACCCTGTGGGACCCCACTTCCTCATACCTCATTCCCTGTGGGGTATGAGATCCCCGTGCTGCAGCTCGGGGCACCAGCTCACTGTCCAGGAGGGTGGACACACGATGCAGGAAACTCACTTGGCACACATGTAGGCGTTGTCCCCGCTCAGCACATCTGCCTTAACGAAGAGCTCCAGCGCGCGCACAATGTTGGCCGCTTGCTGCAACGACAGTAGGGGCTAGCGAGCGGCAGCCCGGCCACCAGCTCTGCTGGCCCCACGGCCAGAGTCTGCAGCCGGCCCCTCCAGCCATGTGTTGCCCCATAGGCTGGGGGGAGCCCTCGAGGCCCCTCCAAGGGTTCAGAGGGAACATGCGACACCCCCATGAGGGGGGCTGGCAGGGGTCTCTGTGGAGCTAGTGCCCCCACAATGCAGTCACGTGGTCCAGCGTGTCCACCCTGGCCCTGGACGGCAGGTGCAGGTCACACAGGGACGGGGCAGGGCTGGGCACCCTCGCCTGCCCAACAAGCATCCCCATCCGATGGGCTCCAGTCCCACCCCCGCCGGGAACACCGCATGGCTCCCACGCCCCCCGGCTGGGGCTGAGCAGCCAGGCGCACCCGGATCTCCAGGGCCACGTCCAGGTAGGGGTCGTAGGTGTCTGAGACGCTCTTGCACACCGAACACTTCACTGCAGGGAGAAGAGAGCCGGGCCTCAGCGCACTTGGCAGGATGCAGGACAGCAGCCCCCAGCCCTGCATTGGGGCATCTCTCCCCGCCCCCACTCAGGGTGCAGGTCACGGGAAGCAGGCAGAGCACTTTGCTACGTGCACGGCCGAGCCAGGCCGGGAACCGCGACTGCTGCTAGCACAGAGCACCGCCACAGAGCCCTACCGCCTGCGTGCACAGGATTGTGCCCAGGCTGGAGGACACGCTCCTCTTTACCCCACAGCCGTCTCTGGCGCTGGGCCCCGAGGGGAACCCGACAACACGGCTCATGGCCCCGGGGGGAAGCTGCCAGGCAGGCTCGGACACGTCGGCCCCGTGGAGAAGGCGCCAGCAACCCCCACTCACCGCGGGACCGCAGGTAACCGCCGAAGATTTGGTGAACCAGTGTCGTGGCCTGCGTCTGGCGGTCCAGCCTGTGAAGGAACGTGGTCTCACGCAGTTGCAGGGCCCGGGTCCCTGCCAAGCGCTGTGTCCGGCGGGGAGGGAACCGGGAGAGCAGTGGGATGGGCGTGGACCCCTCCTGGGTGTGGGTCCAGGGCTCACGTCCCTCGGGAACAAGGCACGTGGCTTTGTGCCACGTCCGGTGGTATTTCCTCCCCCCTAGTCTCCAGGTAGAGACCTAGCAAGCGCTGCTGTGGTCCAGCCTGGCTGCACACGAGCACCCAGACACGCTCGGAGGGGACAGGAGCGAGCTCCCTCGGTGGGGCTGGGCCGGGGGACCCAGGAGAGTGCCGAGGCTTTCCCGGGAGCACCCCCAGCCACCTACTTGGTGCAGCCGTTGAGGCAAGCCTTCTGCATGGCGTCGATGGTGTAGCGCAGGAACTCGTGCGCGTCCTCCTGGCTGCCGAAGCGGAAATGCCGGGCGATCTCTGCGGGGCGCGGCGGGGACCGGTCAGTCACGTGCCCCGAGAGGGAGACCCCCACGCCCCCGGCCGCGCCCGGGCAGCTTACTTTTGAGGTCGCGGATGAAGGCGACGGGCTTGATGGCATTGCCACTGTTGGCGAAGGCCTGCACGGCGTGGTTCTGCATGAGGCACAGCCTGCAGAAGCCACCGTGGCGACCTGCGGGGGGGAGCAGGGAGCGGTGAGCGGTGGCGGCG